GTGTGTGTGTGTACTTATATTTTCATATACACGTATATTTATATATGGAAAATCTATAGTTGATGCATTTTATCAATTTTGCATACTGTTATTGATCATACAACTAATGATCATAGAGCATTGTATTTTCCTTGAATATATTGAAATATGGACAAAGTTAGTTTGAGTTCTTTTCCTTATATATTCTAGGAAAATTGCGTAAGTACCTCGTCAAAAATATATACATGTGTGAGGATAAACTCGCGTTGAGTATGACCCCATAGCTATAATAATTGTCTCGGATGTCAGTAATTTTCTCCAAAGTCGGATGGGTTTCCGTGGCGAGTTATCTAGCTTGCTGTACAATGTGTTTGAATTCGTAAATAATGCGAATGCTACACCCCTCTTCCAATTTGACCTCTTTTCGAACAGGATCGCCACTACAAAGTCAAGTATACCGATGTTGACTACATCGTGTTCACGGATGCTTCACGGTTGATCGTGGATGTAAGTATGCGATATATCTTTACTGATGAGCAAAGACTATGCATCATTGTATATCCCACGTATCTCATCTGTGTCCGTGCACTCACTCGAGCATGACAGCCTTTGATTCTTGCGTTCCACAACAGCCATCATTCTGATGCTTCCGCAATTCTCGAATAGCGCACTGAACAAATTACAAAATAGGAATCAATTAATCTCGAAGTTTGTTTCATCTTCCTGACCGACACTCACTAAGCGCTGCATTATTTTTCTACTGAAGGGCTCGTCGCCTTTTGCGCGTGCCACCTATAGGTACACACCACTTTTAGGACTGCTCTTGACTCCTAACATACTGTTCACGGCTAGCTTTGGAAAATGTGTAAGTACGGGTGAACAATATCGGTCCAGCGTTCCAATATATCAAGAGTACGTGCACATTTCTGTTGGTATCATTTTTAGTGTTGCGGCTTCAATTTGCCTCTCTTTCCATTGTTGTGCGTGTTTAGATGAGGTATAGAGATATAGCTATACAAGATTGCCTTCCAATATTAACTTTATGCTGTATGCTTTTTCCACGGAATGGCTATTGAAAACAGTCCCCCAAGGACTACAGCCCTGTTCCTAGTTCTGCACTTGAGTCGTGTTATCATTGTATTCCACCCGTTCTCGCATGTACTTGGATTCGCGCTCGAGTGTCAAGTGGAGACATTTCCGGAAAGTCTGTTCATTTATAGGCTACCATTGATTTCGTAAGTATTTGTTCTGGTGAACTTACTGCGACGTTTAGAATTTGTATTTTTGTCGTAGGTGCTATTCTTCTCCCGTTATCATGTGTACTCGTAAACCGTATCGCGAAATTTGACTTAATTGACTTAGCAGAAAGCACCGTCATTTGCCAGTGTGCGTCAAGCACTAACATCTATAGAAGTGACCAGCATTTCCCTCCCAATACACTTCTTGATTATAATCACACTCATCCTACGTCTATACAGCTGTTCGCCGCCTGTGATCTTCTCGTGGGATGGGTCATATACAAACTTTTGATTCTGCGCAAGTTAGACCACAATACGTCACTTTGCTGTGCCAGGTATTGTTTTTCTCGGCCACTTGACTTGTTGTACTTGGAGGTCCGACGGATGGCATTTTGGGGTGCGATACGTCGTCCTGCCCAACATGCTCGTCCGATCCGTGTTTTCGTGAAAAGAAAATTCAATCATTCTCGGCCCAGAGTGTGCTACTGGAATGTGCTGTGAATGCACCACGCGACATAGTCACGGGCGGGCATCTATCAAAAAGATAAACTTCCCTCTCCTCCCCCGCCCCCACCCCCAACATCTTTCTCTGCGTAGCCTAATATGATATTCACACTCATTATTCTTATAGTGCCTGGCTACTCAATCCAATGTCATTTGGCATCTCGACACGTGGAAATGCTGAGTCCATCATCTGCTCGGCGGTACTATGTGCCCTGTGGATGCTAGAGACTAAAAGAGTTTTAGCGGCGGGGACACTCCTTGGTTTGGCTATACACCTAAAAATTTACCCTAGTAAGTGCCACCTCTTTTTAGTCTGTAGTATAATCAATTGTATATATCTATTCTACGATATACTCAATTCTAGATTGCGAGTATATTCCTGTGGTGCGCTCCCTTCCGGTGTAGTAGAGTTGTTTTCCATAAATGGTGATAGTAGATGGTGATAGGTGCAAGGTCAAGTACACGGCACTGGCTCATTCTTTTCCACTCCGAGTTATCCGATGACTCAGATTCATGCTCAATATTCCTTCACCTTTCCTTCCACTCGTTACCGAGTTTTCTGATCACCATTCTGTCACACCGCTCTTCTAGTACTCTACAAACTGTTCGCATACTTGTGACCAGGTGTTTCACCGGTGACTGTGTTGCACCTTTATGCCGGTACTATACTCGCTCCTTGTACATTTTCAAAGAGGTTCTATACTAATCGTTTTGAAACACCGTTCTTCTAGTACTCTACACACTCCCCATGTACCTTTGGCTGGGATCTAGCACCCCGAAACCCAGTGGCGGTCAATTCCGAGAGTTCCTCTATCGATTAGCCCCGAACTTTCGACAGATCAAGCTTGTTGTATCTTGCGTCCTGAGTTTCTGCTGCACAACATACGCATGCTACCTGTGGTGCGGCGATGCTTATTTAGAGGAGGCCTGGATATACCATGTGCGGCGTACAGACAACAGACATAACTTTTCTGCATACTTCTACCCGCTGTATCTGTCGTTTGGCACGGATTTCGCAAAAATGGTGGGGTTGGCTGCCTTTGTACCACAGGTGAATCTTTCTTTCTCCATTACGGACATTTGCATGTATATGGGATTCTCGATGTATCCGTGATTCTGGTACATTGTGTAGTCATGTGTTTTCACTCACTATTTGAAAATTAGTTTGCTGGTTCAACATATTCGGGTTTAGACTTTCCGCGAAGGTACCATCTACTTCTCCCTCTGCATATCCCGATACGTTGCATACATAGATTTGAACCATGCATTACCGCCGCAAATCCCGGTCGAACTGTCTTTCTGTAGTAGACCTGCACACTAGTTGCTTCTAAATTCTGCCTTCCAACTACAGGCCATACTATCTTTAGTCATCGGTGCATCGCTATTCCACGATCTACCGCTGACCATGTTTCTGCAGACTTTCGTCTTCGTGACGTTCAACAAGGTGTGCACATCGCAGTACTTCTTGTGGTACATCTGCCTGCTACCGCTGGTCGCACACCATAAGGCCACTACATTGACAACGAAGCAGGTAAATGTGCGACGATGTCTGTGACTGTACGTTACCCAAGATGTTTTATTAATCGACAAGTCCTTTATATTAGTAGTATCTTTGACTCTATAACTTTCAACAAGATGCGTACATCGCAGCAGTTTCTGTAGTACAACTGCCTGCTGCCGCTGGTCCTCACGCCACAAGGCCACCACTTTTATGGTAAGGAATTCACCATAAAGCGCTGATCTGTTGTGATGAAAAAGAAATAGATTGTTTTCGCTTATGGGAGATATGGTCTGTTGACTAGAACGAGAGAGAGCTTCTGGTTGTAACCAAATGCAGGTTTCCTGTGAGATTTTTAGGTCTTGTTTGTTGAAGTTTGGAAAGCAGTATGGTCAGAGCTCGGCTCGAGGAAAAATATCAAGCCAATTTATGCGTCAAAAGAATGCCTTTCACATTGTCTACCCCGGCGCGCAGTGTATCACAGATTTTGTGATGTTCCGCCCGAGGCGTAAAACAAGTTCAATTACTGATAATATAATATCCGTTATATGAATTTTATCTTTTTTTATTCCGACGGCGTTCGCGACCTACAACATCCAATTTAGGCATGAACATGCTTTTATATGACATCTTTCTTTCTACCTACCAATTCTTAGGCCGTGAAGATGACTGCAGTATGGTTTGGATGTCAGGGTCTGTGGCTTCTCCCAGCCTACTTCCTTGAATTCGAGGGCGTGCCCACCTTCATATACCTCTGGGCCGCGGGGTTGGCACTTATGTGTGGATGCGCATGGATCGTGGTACAAATCATCTGCCATTCAACCGTTGTTCCCTAAGCTTGTGGGCTGTACCCGAATCATCTCGTGCTATTCATGGAAACCCTCTTGCGGTACAAATCCTCGACCAATTAACTGTTCGTTAGCAATATTTTGAGTGCTACGGCGGGACCTGCCAAGAATGTGTTGCATTTGAGAAGCCTGGGTGATGGGTCTGGTTTTGAGGTGCAAATTCTCCACAACGCAACTGTCGATCCTTGAGCTTGTGGGTTCCTTCTAACGCCCAAGTGCTCCGTGTTGATACGACAGACAAAGTGGTGCAATCTCCCACCAGCTAACAATCGTAGCCTGCGCTCGAACGACATATTTAATAGCTATGCGTTTATACGGCTGTTGCCGCTGAATTATATACTTTGGAGACGGAACAAAACTGGAAGCACAATCACCACATGCATATATGTTCCTCTATTGTTTGCAAAACCTCTCGGTAGTATATGCAAACGCCCTAATAATTGACGCCTGCTCATCATCTGCCCATATACGATATTCAATTCTATCAGAAAGTCAGTGTATTTTACGCGTGGATTATTGTTGCACTCAGACACTCATATATAAGTCTTCGGCATCCATGCTCGCTTAATTGTATCAGTAGTATCACCGAAGTAATGGCAACACGAACTCCTCATGAAACCTTTGACATTAACGATATTATATAATTTATTATGAAGATATGTGAAATCAGCCACTATTGGCTCCTGTTAATCCTGACGCGGGTCACACATCTTATAATCCTGGTTTTCTGACTGAACCAGATTGCTCCACAGCCTTAGCACCCAGCGTTACGGGTGCGTGCCTATCCCAAACTCCGCGTGTGGGGCGTGTAAGCCTCACCGCCCACTTAGAATCAGGGACCAGCGCGACGCTTGGTAGCCAATCGGATTCATAATAATTGGGCGCAGAATCACAGTCAGCATTACAAAAAGGGCATGCACATGCTCGACACCTACAGCTACTGCTGAGCTGACCATACAGTGTCGCCGTTTTATCAAAGCCACGCACATGCACGCCTTGTGTCGCACTTCCGATCCACATAGGACTCGCTAACGAGTTGCTACGACCAACCAAATCGAATAAACCTACAGTGATATTACTTAGTAGTCCAGCGGAATTAATTAGAACTCAAAGGAATCGGTACATTCGATACCACAGTAGTCTGCACAGTACTCCACGGCCCACCAGTTGTAGTTCATGCAGACTTGGTTGACGTTGTTCCATATCTCGCAGTCCGTGCCGGATTGTGCGCAGGTGGTTGATAGCGTGTTCAGAGGTGGTGATTGTTGATAGTCCGCCTATTTAAGAATAAATAATAAAGGAGAGGGCCGTCAGTGACGATTCAGGACATGAGTAGAAATTGTTCACAAAGACATCCACAATCAAATACATATAGAGAGAAAGAAAGTATTCGTGTAAATATTTGGGTATGGCATTTTTTTCATCACCGACATTCAAACAGGAACAAGCCAGCTAAAAATCAAGCACGTAACGTAGTGTCCAATCCATTGCAGACACAAAACGCTCGCCATTTTATACAGGCTTGTGCAGGAAAAAAACACCGTCACAGCGCAACGTACACTATTACTGAACTGTGCCTTCACACCCAGTACCCGTCTTACAGGTAGACCTGTAAGATAAATTGTCAACAATCAACGCACAAACACGTACAACGACGACGAGTGCGTGGACCACGATAATATCTTCTTACGTGAGTCCATATGGCATATACACTGCGCAGCAGTTTACGAAAATAGCCAATATACTTCCGAAACCGAAATAGTAAACAAGTAAGCGCACTTCGACCGCCTGGTCAGCAAACCCACATTTCCACACGAACTATTGTGATGACACATACCTCGAATACAGTGGGGTCTACAGCGGGTCTGGGATAGGTGCTTTGCCATTCGGTGCAAGCAGTCCTCAGTCTTTCCAGCTGCTGATCTACAGCCGTTGTCAGTAGATACTCGAGCATGAATGTGTTGGTCTTGTACTGTTTCTGAGACGTGCACCCGTGACTCTCAGGGCACGATGAGATATTAGGCAAATGCGCCTCACTCGTAACAAAGTACACATCCGCCAGATCAGGTCCCATCGAGAAGGGTGATACATTGATGTATCCCGGGTAGGTAGACTGCACCTCGATGTAGCCCATGATGCCCTCGAAAAACGCGCTGTTCTTGGACTGTGAGCTGAACGGGGCAAAGAGCAAACCGTACGATCTGAATGCTCCGATCTGTTCCTCGGATGAATTGCCACTCCAGACTGTAAAGTTATCATACGTACTAATACCTTGTCGCTCTAACACACGCTCCAATATCGAAAAGTCCTCGAACGTACGATTACCAGAACCCTCGATACGGTGCAAGACACCCACTTTAGGTGGCGCACAGAACAAATTGTCGCTGTTCGCAGGGTCCGTGATGTTTAACGCATCTACCGGAATGGGAATGACGGTACCACCGCCAGCTCGTAACTCGTCAATGTAGGTGATGTTCCAGGAGGGATCCGTCACCCGAGTGTCTATGCCCGTGGGAAAGGTAGGAATAGTCTCGCTGTGGCTTGTCTGTTCGGTCCGAATAGCATCAGGGAACCGCTTGTTGATGAAGGTATTCCAGGGCTGTTTCTGTGCGTTGTTCCACATGGTTCGTTCTGCGGTACCCCAGTCTAGATCTAAGGCACGACGCATGCATGCGTGAGTAATACGATCAGCTTTTTTAATCTGTCTGAGACCTCCACTATCTCTCCACCATGTTTCTTCATAGTTGGTGTTCTGAGTGGCATTTCCGCCAAGCACCGCGCCTATCAGGTTGATAAGATGTTGACTAGCCTGTACCGAACGCTGGCGTGACGATATGAGGTGTGTGAAAGTCATGGGCTCGGCTGCATTCGCCATGTGAAATATGTTAGTGATACGATTCATGCAGTGACCGAATTGCTCGACTTTCTGATGCGTATTCCACCAGTAAGAGGTGTCTTCAAACCACTGTGGTGTATACGTTTCGTTAGCTAGGTCAGAGTCAGTCCATAAACTGAACGTATAATCTCCCGTGTATACTTCTAGCGTTTCACAGTTCTCTGACATCCACACGGGACAGTCAACTAAGCTTGTTGTAGGCTGTTCTGGCTCTACAGCCGCAGGTATCAGCATAGGGCAGCACTGCCGCCACATCCAATAGTCCTCGGGCTCGTTGGCTACGATGTTTACCTCTTGCTCATTCACACAAATATCCTTATGAATATGCATAGTAACTCCATAGTCCACTATAACCGTGCCATATACTTCCCCGTCTGCCTGTCTGCGGGCTCGATGCCCTAATTCTCCCAAATCATGCTGGGGACTGGCTGGCTGCCCATTCAATTGTCTGATTCGTGTCATCACATCGTCTGAGATTAAGTCAACGTCGGCTTCGTCTCGCGAATCTACTGAGGCGTCTACAGCCGCGCCTCTCGCGGAGGCTACCAGTGTAGCTAACAACGCTGGTGTGTACTTCATGTTGAAACAGGTTGTTACAAAGATGAAACTGGATATCTAGACAGGTTGCGATGTCATCTATAGGTGAGCGAGCATTGCTGTGTGCATCGGTCGCGGTCGATTCTCATCATTGAAATAATGCTGCAGGTAAGCAACAATATTGTATTTGATCTTACGTCGTAAACTATTTTATCTCTAAAACCAGAGCTCGATGTAAAAACGACATGACTAACTCAAAGATAACCATCATTTTAAACCAGCTAAATTGCATAACCATATCCATATACATACGATCTAAGGTTATAATCGCTGCCCTTTATCAGATTGGATACTAAAAATACAGTGTTACTTGATTGGGCAAGTCTCGAACATCCGGAGGATTTCTTATTTGCATTGGTTTAATTTACTCAAGAGAAATAGAAATAATCTCAATAGTTCGGACACTCGTGACTCGTAGTCTCGTACTCCCTGTCTCGCTCAGCGCTCTATCATTTGTTGTGTATGCGTGTATTTTAATAAAATTACTATGGGGCAGTCGCATATAGAGTGCCGTCCAAATGGATCCAAGTTTGAACGACCTGGCACCCGATATTTTTATCCGATGGGAGAGTTAGAGAGTGGAATCGACTCAGAATGACCAGGATAATAAAATCACTCGGATAAAATTTTGATATCGGCTTTCAAAAAAAAAATCTGGAAATGCACATTTCCATAATATTGGCCACTAATGACAAATAGACTGTTTTGGAGGTTTTGAGACAATTTTAACACCCAATATGGACCACACATGCTTGTAAAATGCATGACGGGTCTGGTCGGCAATTTCGAACACCGGTGACACTCACACAATTTCAAAACAAACGATTATATACATGTTTATGCGATGGTTATGGTTCAGTATTGACGTTACACTAGCTTGTAGGTTAGATATTGTGTGAGCTTGATTGAAGAGATGGGCGTAGGGGTTAATAAACGTTCCAAGCACCTTGGTGGTGGGAGGCACCAACTGCAAAATGCACAGGGAAAATACTGCACGACTCACGACAGCGATGAAGATTACCAACCTGAGTCGGATAATCAAGACAAAGCGCAGATAGCTGAAAACTTGTTAAAGCAGTGCCGGCGGGCGATCTCAAGGACAAAGGGTATTAAGCCTTGTAAGATTCGGTCTATCAAGGCGATATTAACGCCTTAGAGTAATTAAACGCGTAGGTAAAGTCTAAGTATCGTGAAATTCGAGTACATAAACGAAATGAATCTTTTGGTCAAGTTAGGTATGCCTCGTGAAAATAGCAATACTCTGAGGGATTGTGAGGCTGAGACATTGCTTATATATAATTCTCTCAGTACTGTTTGCGCCGAAGGGATTTTAATTAGTGTTTCGTTGTCGCTCTATTAGAAACTATCGTACGTTTCGTTGGGGCGAATCCGAGAGAAAATAAGAATATAAAATAACTTGCCACTTATCAAGAATTACAGACTTAGCCTTCATCAGACTGGCACATCTGGTTGGCTGAACGGAGGATAAACTAAGTAACGTTAAATTCCTTAGAAACCTATATTCGGTTGCCATCTCGCTACCGAGGTATTCAGGTACAAATAGATTTGGAAAGTAAATATAGTTCCATTAATAGAACTAGACCAAATCTTATGTTTGGTATTTTACTGGGGCTTTATAATGGCCTTGTCCAAATATCTGATATGTAAAATGGAAAAGGTTTTAATTAATAAAACCGTGAAAACCCATTTAGGAAACTTAAGTTCCTCGTACTACTAAGAGTACGTTTATAATTTACGTACTGTTTAAAAATACGTTTATAGCATATAGTCTAATGTGTAGGACCGGAAATTACACTTCCGGAGGTTTAATCATCTGACTGATCTTTATTTGGGTCTAGCCCATTAGGCACACCAGTGAGAGGTATACCTAAACTGAGAAGATCAGTCATACCTATAATCAAATCGTATTTCTGGGACATGTCAGTAACGATAAGGTGGGTCTTTACTTCTCTTCTATCTGTCAACATTATGTGTGCATAGTCAAAGGCTTCTTCGCAAGTAGTAACCTTGCCATTTCCCAAGATTAAATTAGATATTTCGTTATGGATAGCCATATCTGTAGCGTAGGCTACTCGGCATGAGATAGAAGAGACTTCAGCCCCTGGATCAAAAAGCGCTATAACTTTTTCTCCATTTACAGAAACGGTTTGAAATATACGTTCATCTCCTTTGGTATAGATTTTATTGAACTTTTTCTCATAATCTTGCTCTAGTGCACAAATATGGAACTGTCAGTGCGTAACTTGAACGTCCGGTATGTCCTTGCAATCATCTTTGTGCCAACCGTTAGTGCCCTTGCAAGTAGTACACTCTTTCATATAGGGAAAAAAAATATTATTTTAAAAATGGTAAGTTTGTATGATACAATGTATGGACATATGGTATGGCTCTCATAGTCGCTGTAGTGGTTCAGGAAAGATTGATGGGAAGGAGTGGTCGGTAAATTCCCGTTTGAAGCTTGGGCCAAGTGAGTCGACAATGGAAGATACGTGCTGAGTCAATTCGGGCCGGTGTAATCGGTGTTGACAAAACACTGTTACTATCGAATGTTTCATATATTTGCTTGCTGATCTACTAAGTAGAGTACCCACCACTGTGGTATGGATCGGGTCTGCGCCGTGCTTCATATAGTGTCCAAAGTTTGGCTTGCCTGGTGCACACTTAACAGAGTCGTGTTTACCATTCCCCTTGCCATCACGTTTAGTGAGGTTGTAACCACACTTCTTACAAGGTGCTCTCTCCTTCCTTTGACCCTTTGGTTCAGTAGAAGTAGAGCCTTTACCACCTCCGGCAGTAGTGCGAGGTTTCGTAGTATTATGCGTAGTGTTTTTCTCTATCGCGGTACGCTTAGCGGGCTAGGTACAACTCGCGGTACTACGTACTCTAGTAGATGGGTTGGTATGCTTTTGAACTATCTTATCAAAGACAGACCAAGGCATAGATCGCAAATCACCATAAGTGATGATATTATCATTGACCTTCATAAAAAAGGTTATCCCCCAGAGTCTCTATCATTTGACAAATTAATAAATATTCGCCAGTATAAGTACGACCTCCCATCCGAATGTTCATATGTGTCATATGAGCTAGAGCACCTCAAATAGTAGTATCGTTCGCAAAGAACTTGCGAGACTCTAGAAGTTCACGGTCACGTGAATCTTCAAAGAAGACGTTAAGTATTTTCTCACGCAACTGGCGCCAGGGTAGAGCTTTCCAGTTGGGCCCATGGGCCTTCAAGATAGTTTTCCATTCCTCTGACTCACAGAAATGAATAAAGGCATTCATCATCTGCTTACCCTTAAGACTGGCAGAATCCGTAAGTTGGTTAAAGGACTTCAGTGTCTCCACTGTACTCTCATTAGTAGAGAAATCGACCTCAGCCTTCGCGTTACCTAGCTGCTTTATAAAGCTTGGTTCGAAGCGTTCACGAGGCTCAAGCTCAGTGCTACGGGCTGCTAGTGCCAAGATGAAGTCTATCTTCTTTCTCTTGTTAACGATTAGATAGCGAATGTTATCCGCTTTCTTATCGTCAAGGTCAGAGTCATTCCATAGACGGTCTTCAAGGACTTGCATACCAGAACGTAATAGCCTGAGACGATTTGTTTTGGTTCTCACTTCCTCGTCTTCAGAGCTAAAGTGGGTACTCTCTAGTGAGGTACTGGTATAACGGTTACCAAGGTAGTGATTACCAGGGCTAGATGGTAAATGAGGGTCGATGTTATTGGGTTGGTAAGCCTCATCGATTTCCATACGATCATAGCCTCTGACAGGGTTAGGTTTGTCGAGAGGATGGTCGATTGTAGCTTCCGAGCTATAGAGATTAAATCTTGAAATTTTACCCACTTCACCAGCGGTTACTGGCTTAGTAGTAATTATGCTGGCTGGTAAACCAGTGGAGAATATTTTTTTTCTTCGGTATAAGAAGAATATCGACCACGTGGAATATGATCGAAGTGTCAAACGCTGCCGGCAGCGGCTAGCTCCTTTAACAGCTCATCTTTGCGGTTCAAATGGCGTCAAGATTGAAGATCCAACCACTCGTTGTCGAGTTATGGTGTTCCCAGCATTTGCGTCTTCCGTCCCAACATTCAGTGGCGAGGCATTTAGTGGCGAGGCATTCAATGAAATTTCACGAAATGGAACTGTTAATAAAGGGATTGGGCTGACTTTTAGTAGTCTCGAAACGATTCCCCCACTTGTTCAGAGGATATAGCCCTTCCAATATCTGACTTATCGCGGTCAGATGGCGAGCTGATGCCCTGGGCTGCACTACTAGGAGACACACGGATGCTGGCGAGCCTTTCCGCGGCAGTTGAGACCTCCTCGTCTAAGGCTTTAGGGTCCGACGTGTCATCCTCAGAGATTTTCTCAGAACCAAGCTCAAAAACAGTTTCCTTTATCGCTTCAACGGCAGGCTCAGTACCAGACGGACCAGCATCCCCAGTAACCTCAGGAACCTCAACAGGCTTAGCAGGCTTAGAGCTGGCAGCTTCCTTGCCTTTAGAATTTGCTTCCTCCCTTCATGAACTGTTCTGCTACATAATCGCCCTTTGGTGCACACACGGGCACTGCAAGTAAGGTATTGTGCTATTTGCTTGTTACACCTGACATTGTCACGCAGCCGTCATGAGAGGCTGGTGACTTTGGGTTGTTGTGCGCAAGGCCTAATACTTGGGCCATTCTTGTACTGCAATAAGCACTTGCTGCCAATTTCGTCTACGTGAACATATCGAAATTTACTGAGCTTGATAGCTCGGTCTATGCCCACAGACGTAACAAGCCCACTACTTATGTGATTGTTTGTTAAGCTTGTCTGTAGTAATTTCCGCAATACTTGTGTGTGTGTACAGTTGAGGACCAGTAACGTAATAGAGTTTACAGGGAGACACGTCGCTACAAATAATTTTGGAGAGGGTAGCGATAAATGCGTGTTTGTTTTCCTGGCTGCTTCATACCCACCTGGCGAAGACATATACCAGCTGTGGGCGAACTACCATTGTACATCCGTCGTATCCTCGCGCACTAGACAATAAAATATCACCCGCATGACCAATGTTCTGATTCTCGAACATGTCATCTGCATCTGCTCCTGCTGCCTGCTGTCTATTGAGCCTTTTACCGTATTTACCTAATTGCGTAGCTATTTGTATATGATCTAGTTCAGAAGTCTCAATGTTCTTGCTGTCTATTGAGCCTTTCTCCGTATTTACCTAATTGCGTAGCTATTTTTATATGATCTAGTTCAGAAGTTTCAATGTTCTTGTTCTTAGTTATTCTTAGTACTGGGGTATGTTCGATAGAGGTATACAAGATGTCTTTCATTACACTATAAGTGTGTATAAATTTAGGTATGAGTTTGTCTCTCTTACACTCTGTCAGCTGGAAGATCTTGCCTGGGTTACCGGTCGATATAGACACATTTGTAGGTTTGAAAACAGATATACTGTAGTCGCATCCAATATCCACATATGTAGTATTATTCATAGCGAACGAGCTATTGTTGTCTTGAATAGTACGGCACAGGCGCAAGGCACTATTATACCTTATACTTGTCAAATCTATATGTCCCCTCCTAGATCAACTAAATAAGTCTTCTAAAGTTTGAATCCTATCCTCCATTCCATCACGCTCAATACGAATTCGTTCTTCACTCTCAGTTTGTCTTTCTTCAAGTAAGCGTCTTCTTTCACGTAATTTGTTTCTTTTTATTCGATTGTGCTCCGTTACACTAATTGTACTGTATTGTTGCAGGGTTGTTGTCCGTAAAAGCAGTGATGGTTTAGCGTTGGATCAATGTTTTCTCAATGGGTTGTAAATGGAACCATCGCGTGCATTCCGTTCAACCTCTTTCCTCTAAATATCTGCGTACACTGGCAACCAGTCGACGTCTCAGAAGTGTTTGTAGCATACCACACGTCGATGGTGTTTTAATACTTGTCCACTATCTTCGTTTATGTCGGCGAAATAGTTATTCGCCACTTGATTCCAATCATACGGAAATTGCTTCTTCCATACATCGTGCTCAGGGTGTCCATATTGCAGGAACTGTTTTATTTTTGTCGTATCAACATCCATCAACCATACAAATCGGCATATTGAATTACTGTTCAAAGTTCAGCTTACGTTTGGCACCTTTAGTTCGTTTGATGGGCGTATTGAAATATGTGTCTGATGCATCGCCATCGACACTTATACGATCGAGTCTGTGTATGCAGCCCTTGCAAAAGCCAGGCCAATTCCACTTCTTGGGGAAGCAGCAATCTGGTGTCTCGATTTCGTACGTATTTGGTTCATTAATCTTCGGTTCGAGGGTTGTTCCTTTACCGTATGCAGGGAAGCATGTCGCATGCCACTTTTCACGACACCATCCACAAACCCCTGTCTCCTCCTTAGGAATTACTGTTAGGCCACACCTACCACAACCTATAGGTTGTGTGTACCATTGTATGGCAACCCAGTTGTGTTCTTTTATGGGTTGCTTAGAGTATGACATTGCAGCAGGTGGTATAGCTATGTATATGTGTTTATGTGTATATATGCACACACGCGAGTATGTAGCTATGAATAGCCTATTGCGTTCAGAAGCCACAGTTGAGGAGGGCTTTCTTGCCCGCCCGATTCTCAACCAGGAGATGTTCCGTGACATCATGTCTATTCCGTCATGATGCCGAACAAGACAACCGACGATCATTCACTATGCCAGCCAGAAGAACGCACACACAACACAGCACGCAACTATGGTCCTTGAACAACACACCCATAATTCATCCACAACGTGAGGTTATCACAATCATCATCCCTGAACAACACGATGGCTATCAAAATAATTTTATTGGCCTAGAGTCTAAAATAGCCCAAATGACCAATCAAAGAGACCTCATACTGGCCTGATAAATCTAATCATAATGGCCTATGTAAGTTGTACCAGCAATGGAGTCACCGGGCCTGCTGTAAAGAGAAACCTTGATTGTTCAGTTATTCACTGTTCAGTGTTCAGTTGTCACTGATGAGTTGTGATTTCAGATGTGTGACTTAGTGACTTCATGCTGACTTCACTGACTCTTGCCACAAGCAAGTTGGCTGTCCAGTATTCAGTAGTCCGTGTTTCATTACTGGACATTACGAGTCTATAAATTATGTAGAGATACCCTGTCCTGATTCCTGGTTCCGGATTCCAATAGTAAACAAAGCTTCTCAAACACAAAATCATTAGTTGCAGTGTTCCAATGTTCCAAAAACGTATCATCCCGAGTTTTCTCAGGAAGAGAAGAAGAATTGATTATCTGAATAAATAAAACACATGGTATATCATTTAATACTTTACGCACGTATAGGTAAAAATTTGGACTGTGAGGTTTTCCTGTATAAAACCCTATACTATATATATTAAAATCGGAGATATGTCACTTGTGCAAGACGCGCATTGAATTATATAAACAATCATTAATAAAAAGTCGTCGGCGTTGAGGATTTTTGTATTGTAAAAGTGTATACAGTATTGCATATTATAATCTGAGATCATTTGTCACCCGTGTGCGCGCATTGAACAATGAAAAAAACGTGGACTGTGAAGATTTTCCGTATTGCAATTATTCAAAGAATGTAACCCATAGCCTTCTAAATCAGAGATTTAAATATGCAAAAAATAAACTATGAACAGTTGCTGTATATATTAAAGTTTAGGTGGCTGTTTAACCAACCACCGTGGAACAACAACAATGAGTTGCTTGACTTATACTCCTGGTACTTGAATTTCATCATAGTTATATTGACCATATTATTCATATTGATCATAGTCAGCCATATTAGCATATAATGTCTATGGCTATCATTCGAAAGTTCATAGTCATCATCTGCTATGGTTTTAGATTAAACCATGGTCAACAACTGATCAAAATATTTATTCCTCACTACTAGCTACTACTAGATAGTCTACTAGAGAGTTCATATTTCATACTCGCGTACATTTATATCATATGTACAGTTGTACACTCACAAATTGAAATATGTATGCGCCTTATTTGGAGAATTTTGGCGGGCTGGTGTTTTAGCTGTATGTAAATATTCGAACTCGCATCAGAGGCAGAGAATGCAAATGGGATACATGCACATTTTAGAATGCAGTGATATATTTATATTGAATATAATCCTTCATAAATACAGGGCTATGCTTCGCTAGTCTCAGTAGTCGAGCGTGTGTCATGTGTATACGTACATATATATCAATATAGTGACATGGCGGCCTCCATCAAGGCGATTTCACGGCTGTTGTCGTCCGACGACAGCCTTGTGTACAGGGTAGGATTGCACAATATCCACACGATACTCAAGTCTAGGACTAAGGTGGACGCAGACACGAAAGCTGCCATCATAGGCATATTGTGGGAACAATTACGTATGGGTAACAATGATATTGCGCGAGCGTGTGCTATGGAGCTGGGTGGGCTTGTAAGAGCTGGTCTACTAGAGCCTGGTCCCACACTAAATCAGTTGCAGTCGACCATGACCAACATACCCACACGAAATGTCACCATTGTAGCGTGTGCGGTTGCGAATATAGTACTAGACTCATTGTTTGACAAGGCATCTCGAGCGTCTTCATCCGATAGTTGCGATCATTTGTATGATAGTAATACATTACATACCACATACATCCAAGGAACCCGCAGAACTGTGAAAGGTGGCGTGAACGAAGCACCACAGCCTTTGGTTAAGTTGCTGGTGTCCTTTGCGTCGGTATGGCCAGACGTAGTGTGTACAATTGAGCAGCGGTTGATAGTTACCGCGACGAAGCCTAGACAGTCTGTATCAACGAGCAAGTCATATACGGTAAATGGTGCACAACACGGCGAAATACTTACTACAACTGTTCTGGAGGGCCTGAGACCCTTTTTTTTGCACACGTTGCTTCAGCCGTACGGTATCGAGCCGGGATTGCGGTCGAGTGTACTCACGCTTCTCACGCGTCTGTATAGCATACACAATACAAACTCATATCCAGATACAGACACCGCAATGTCCGAGGCCGAGGCTAGGCGTGACAGTGTGGGCGATTGGTGTTCAGATCTCCTGCTTGAGGTTGTGGTGACGATGTCACTGGAGGATTCCGAGTGTATCGGATGGATCAATCTTGTTATGAGTCTGATGATACCGAGTCTCACCAGATCAACCACGCAGGGTGCCAGTCGTCAAACGATGCAGGTACGGCGTGAGATAGATGTGTGCGTAGTAGCGATGCACTCCTATTTATCTCCATCGGGCAAACCATCACGCCATCCAGATCTTAGGAACTGACCTGAGATCACATACTTCTTGGAAGGCCTATACTGTGGTACGCGATTAGATCTAGCCCAATTAGAAGGGAAGCACTATTGTATGAGTTTCGTATGGTAAATTGACCTGAACCAACAGACTCGAGAGGTCAGTGTGTAGTCAGTCGCAGTTTTGAGTTTATAACACATGCTGCCACATGCTCAACTTCAAGACACAAGTTAATCCCAATGTCCCACTTGCAATATAGTTAAATGCAACTATATGTAATTATCTTGCTGATCCTACATATCGACTGCATCCTGGAATTGGGATTCATTATAGTACGTTTGTTGCAGCTTGCAGGACCGAAAGTTGCAAATTATCGTAGAGTCTTTCAACGCACTCGTGACGTTGCCACTTGCTCTTGTTAGCCATTTCTATAGGCCATTTTGTACCTCATTCATCCTCGTATTTATCCTGCCTTCTAGTCAATTCTTGTATCAACCATAGGCTTGATTCAGCTGCTTATCATCCCTTCCATTCACTTACACACAGTGGTTTGATCTCTGTCTGTCTTTGTGTACCGAACTGCAACGTGTGGGGCGAGACGGGACGCCAATCTTAGCACACTTACAGGCCCTTCTGAACGCAGCCATACGCACTTCTGCTGCAATAGACTGCTCTACTATTGTAGGTATGGGCTACCTGCTATTGACGTGCACGTCATCGGATCTGCCAGTCATGCTAGATTTGACACAACAGTTGTATAAGTATACAGAGGAGCGTGACTCAAATACATCAACGAATAATGTACATGACAGTAGTATTCATTCCGATGCTCATAATGAGCCGGTTACAGACAATGCGAGCGCTGGGGTCGGTGAGTGCGGACGTGGTATTAGTGCACAGGAAAGCTGGGGAGACTCTTTTCTGCTGTGTGCGTGTGTGCTGCTGGTTAATAATCCCGTAGAAGAGGTGGCTTACATTGCCGGAGATTTGCTGAGCCGCATCATGGCGCGAAGGGTGACGTTGGGGGTTGTACCTCCTTCTGTGTCAACGGACTGCTGTGGATCTGGACTGAAACATATGGACAGACAGACACAGTCGAAACTTTGTTCATGCTTACAGTTCTGTAGTGATAGTGGGCAGGGAATAACAGGCCATGCTTTCTACAAAACATTAATAGCAGCGGCGCAAATGACGGCACGGTGCAGCGGCCGCATGTCGCATCTGGCCAGCCCAGTCGCAGGCACAGAGAACTCCTCCAACAGCGAAGCAAGTGCGAGTAAACGCATGCATGACAGTTACTTCCCACCGGTAGTAGGCAAATCGGCGGCCCGAAGATCGGGGTTGGGCGTGGATGCGGATTCGGGCGAGAAAAAAGGGACCGAAAATGTCCCATTCTACAAGTTTTATGCTCTGTGCCCCTCTCTTTTCTCTGCTAACGTGGGGACGCGGGAGATGACGATAGAGGCCATGTGTGTGCTTGTACAGTTTGACTCCAGATACGCACTATGGGCTTTAGCGCTGTTTATGTTCAGACTAAGAAACGAGACACAGCCATACATCAAGCTCAGACTGCTGTATCGACTACCGGTGCTGGGCACAGACAAGAAAAAGTTCGCGGCGGTCGTACAGGTCTGTGAGATGATCATTCGCGTATGTATACTGTCATACAGACGAGGTCTTGCTTGGATTAAGGGCGTGTATTTTTGTATTCCGTGTGAGTAATTTGTATTGCAGTAAGGATGCCTGCGCAATCCTCATGCGTGTCTTGATCTTGAGTAATGTCCTATACATAAACTCGCCATACGAGTGTTTGAATATAGCACACATACATATATATATATATATATATATATATATATATATATATATTATATATATATATATATATATATATATATA